GTTGTATTATGTTCATGACAGATGTTAAAAAGTGAACTTTGTTATTAATGAATATTTACAGACTGTTTGCGCCTTGAGGAATTTTTTCTTTTAAGTAGTAGTAGTGATAGTTGTTTTTTGTTTTTTCTCAAATGAAATATATATTAAAAAAGGATGAAAGGTAAGTAAATATTGCTTGATGACCTTAAGAATGCTGGAACAACTTATTTATTTAGTATAATACCAAAAGTCTTTTTTAAATGAGATGTGAACAAAATATTGGTTAAGATTTGTATTTGTGTTGTGATGCTGTTGATTATTTGAAATTATATTGTGTATTAAGTTGAGTTTTGTTACTCGTATGTTGTGCTTTTTTTAGATACATATATTTTTTAACTGGGAGCAGATTTTATAAGATTTTATTCTTCTTTCTGCTCCTTTTCATTTGACTATGTTGTGATTGTATTTTTGACACAACGATGTTGTATTATTTGTTTCTTTTATTGTTTGTTTTATTTGTTTGTTGAATGAAATAAAGTTCTAAAAAAATGTTCTAGTTAAACTCTGATGAGCATTTATTTTGAAAGCTAAATCAGCTTGTCTTGGATGTGTTTGAGAGTTGTTGCTACAGGTTCACATGCTGAGCTTTTCTCTGAGTAAATACATTTGTTAGAAGTGAAATCAAAAGTATGCCCAACCGTTCTGCTCCAGGTCAAACAGTCTCTGTTGCCAGAAGCTTCTGAACGGAGCGATGCCGGTTCCTGGACCCACCAAGATACACGGTGCTTTGTTGTCTTTGGGAAGTTGGAATGATGGTGCGCTAAAAATTAGGGGGAAAACATACTGTTAGTTCCTTTTAAAATCATTTAAAATTCATTGAAAAACAAACAAGTGGCTCTGTTAGTGTCTAAACATAATAACGTCTAACACCTCTGAGCCAAAACACTAATCCTAAATGATTGTATTTAGTGGTAATGAAGTCCACCTATCAGCACCGACACTAATATAGCTTTATGTGTTTTTGGGCCAAACAGGTTTAACGGCTCTCTGAAGATAATAAGAAGAAAATTGTTTTATGAATCAGTAAATCTTTTGTCTTTCCAATTAGCTTTGCTACCAGTGCAGATCTGTTTGCACTGTGCTTATCCTATCGTTCTATCCACCCATTTCACTTCAGAAATCAACCTCTCCCACACAAAATACTTTAAGCTCATTAGTCAATATCTCTTTGTTCAACCGTTAAAATGCAGATTGCTGTACTTTGAGGGTCTCTGCTTCAGTGCCTTTGCAAAATTAGGATTAGATCAATTTAAGATCAAATGATTACATATTATCTTCCTTATTTGGTGTCATGCTTTTTATTTTTGATGCAAAGTGTTTTTTGAAATGATGCAGAACACGTTATTGTGGTTTGTTTACTAGTTTAATTAATTTATACCAACCATATCTTTTGTTAATATCTCAAATTAGCTTTGTAAGGGAATAATTTAGAATGTAAACATTATATTGGCTAATTAAGGTAAATGAGTCAAAGGATTAAGAACTGTAAATGGCCAGGCAAAGGGGAAAGGTTGATTTCCATACACAGAAAAAAAGCAGACGTGATCTTTTTTTTATTGAGGCTTGACAAGAAAGCTTTTCATTTTGATCGTTACCTTCGAACAAAGCACGGCACCATCTCCCCTTTTTCTATCCTGTTGAGCCATGATGAACACACTCCATGGTGAATAGGTCCCCCTCCACCTGAAAGGAATGATTACCAAGCAATCACTTTACCTTTTTCCTTTCACTTCTTCCTCCTACTCTTTGTATGTGTACAAACTAACACATGGGGGAGGGTGGTCCTAACACACCCACAAGGCTAAAGTCATTTCTCCTTCTCTCTTGCTAAAAGGGAACTGTGATACAAGCCACTGGGTACACAATCACAGTAATATGACCATATTACTTACATAGCATCCATGTAAGAGGAAATAACAGAGAGGCTCCTCGAATGTTTACCAACTGCTCGAGTTTATAGACGTTGATGGTGGAGCTGCAGGAGCTTTTAGATACTTCTCACGAAAACCTGGCATTAAAGTTAAAACCTGAACATTGTATTTGACAGATTTAACAGGTTTGTTTCATTTGGGATCGGGCTCACAGACCCAAACAAACTATGTAAAGTCCTCCGGAGGCGTTATGTTTATGTTTTCCTGTAATTACAGCTGTGGACTGGTCGGCCTGGCTTTTCAAGGTAACTTTCTATCAGTAAAACACTGAAGGCTTTTCAGAAAGGCTGAGTCATTCGACCAGTTTGAGTCGACGTTGCAGCCGAGTAGCGTTTAAAGCCCAGTGGCATCAATCTACTGAACTTCTGAAAAAATATATGTATTTTATCTACCTTAGTTTTAAATTTTCCATTTTATGAGAGTTTAAATAACATAAACTGACTCATAAAAAAGAAAACCCAATAGAAACACTAACATTTAAAATCGTATTATCTGTTACAGTTCAATATGTGTTCAGGGCAGTGTTGTATAAAGAACCTCAAAGTGATACTTGAGTAAAAGTATAAGTATCTTACCATAAAATTACTTTGGTAAAAGTTAAAGTTTCTTCTAAGAATATTACTAGATTTTATTTATTTATTTATTTGTACTCTGAATTTAATTTCTGACATAAAATGTACTTAAGTATTAAAAGTAAAAGTATTGAGTAATAATGAGTGGTTTGATTTTTCAAAATGACATTTATTGGGAGGTAACCTCCATAAAAAATTTCTAAAGGCGTGCAGCTGTGATGGATTGTGTACAAACTAATACAGTGTCAGGATTGTATATATTTGTACTTCTCATTCAACTGCAATTAAATTCACTCAATCCTGGAGGCACAATTTATCAGAAAATTGCTTTTTTAAAACAATAATGAGCCAGAATTAAATAAGGGTAACAACTTTCTACTTCTTACCTTTTTTAAAAAAAATGTAAGCAATAGAAGAAAAAAGTAGGCTGAAAAATAATTACTCAAGTAAAGTAAACATAACCTAAATTTATACTTATGTACAGTAAAGTATTTGTACTTAGTTACTTTACAACTCTGGTTTGGGGTAACTCTCAGCTACTACCACACCAAAATTTGGCTAAATATCTGTAAAAATGACAGAATTAGCCAATTTTTTGTTTGTGCTAAGATCATTAAACAAGAGTTCTTGAATCAGGTTTAATTTAAAAGTCAATCCAATTGGTTCATTAAAATCCATCCAGTGGTTGATATTTTGCTAACAGACACAGGCAAGTATACAATTGCCCAACTTTTTACGGTAATGGGAGTTACTTAGCATTATAATAATACAAACTAAGTAATTGAAAGTAAAATCAAGTGCAAATGGAAGTGCAGGTCCTCACCTCTGGTGCAGTAAGAGACCACAGCCACAGTGAGGTGGATCTCTCCTGGGTACAGGTCGGGAGATGAGCTGATGGAGTAATAGCGAGCCTGCAGCAGGGGCAGCTGTGTGAGCAGCAGCGTTGAGGGCATCTGGATGGAAGGGAACTCCTCCAGCACCTCCACCAGTGTGGGATTGTTGTACCACTTCCACTCCTCGTATTCCTGCAAGCCCTGCCGTGTCGAAACGAAAGATGAGGCCAAAAAAAACAAACAAAACAACAAAACCATGATGCTTTTTTCACCCACAATGGATGCCATAATTTTATTAAAAGTACAATCTAACAGCTACAGAAGCCAAAAAAAAAAGTTTCAATCAACATTTCGCCTCAGGAGCAGGAGGTGGCCACAAGCAGAGCGTTCTTTCAAAGCCCAACTGTTTTGTATGTCATCACTGACATTTAGATGGGATGAATTTAGAATGCTGCCACCAGGCCTAACAAAAACCACATGCAACGTAGCTTTGTTCTCAGGCCGTTAATGAGCAACACAATGGCCGTTAAGATGCCTGGTGTCATCTTCATTCTGTTCCTAAACACAGTTAGAAGCACCTCAAATGCATTTAGCAGAAAGAAAAGAAAAGAAAGAGCATCAAAAGCACTTTGAGTCCTGGGCTTTTCAGCCTCGATAAACAGATGGAGTTCGGGGACTTTGCACATATCAGAAGATAACAGATTTGTTTAAGCAATTATTTTTATGTTTTTCTTCTTTAATTCTTAGTTTTAGGCTTTCAATAAATTCATCTGTGATGCTGATTGCACTGTAACAATTTTTTTTTCTTAATTCGGAAGCCCTCAGTCTTTTCCTTTTGCTTTGGTGGCAGTGATTCCGTGTGTGAGTCGCTGTTTGGACTCATACAGTCTTTTCTACATGTTGACAAAAATTAAGAGTGAATTGTGGGAGGCACAGTAATGGGGGATGGTTCATGGTTAGAGCCATCTCCTGCTTTAATTTGGCGCCAGCTGACTCCTATACTGTACAGATTTCTAACAGTGCAGCAAATCTAATTTCAGACTCAACTGTCTCCCATATTTTAGCAAACACAATAAATGTGTTGTTTACTGTTGCAGCCGAAACACTTGTGCATCCAAAACACTCTACTTAAAAAAGGGAAAACTTGTGTTGTGTGTATAAAGCAAAGCCTTCATATTAACCAGGCTAGGCGATTAGTGCTGCCCAGTAAAAGTCCGTATTTATGGCGCGGTATGAGGGCCAAAATTAGGACTATTGTGCAACGAACTATTGCTTCATCCTTGTAGCAGGAGGCTATAGCTATTCCTAAGCCATTCATAAGCTATTGATCTGATTAATGACAGGCCAGCACTGCTAACTGAGAGGCCAGTGTTACACCATATTTTGTGACCATCATATATTGTGACCAGAGGGGGCGCTGTTGCATTTCCACAACAGAACTTGGCCGAACATGGTCACAAAGAAGAATATGATACGCCAAAAGTGTAAGCCAGAGGCTGAAGACATATGAAGAAAAAAACAAACTGTCGACTGTTAAACATGGTCACAGAATATGACAACTTGTCATATATTGTGACTATACAGTAGTAATAATAGTAGTAGTAATATTCAACATGCTTTTTCTGACATTGGGGGATGTAAACACTCTAGTAGAATCAGTTTATGAATAGTTTTACCATTTCTTTAGCTAAAGTGAAGTCACAATATATGTATGACAATATGTCATATTATGTGACCCTGTACTAATTTAATAACAGCCACCATGTCAGTGATCAAGTTATTTTTCAGACATTAGATGATGTATACAATGAGTAGAATCAGTTTATGAATAAATGTTTTACTATGGTATTTACCAAGCTACAGTGAAGTCACAATATCTGACAACAGTTGTCATATTTTGTGACCTCTAGCTTACACTTTTGGCATATCATAATCTTCTTTGTGGCCATTTTTGGCCAAGTTCTGTTTAAACGCGACAGCGCCCCCTCTGGTCACAATATATGACGGTCATAAAATATGGTATAACACCGGTGCTGATCAGTGAGAAAGACTATTCATCTGTGTTAGCATTGGAGAGACTAGCTACTAGCATTGTTACTTCAGAGAGGCTAGCATTCCTAAGCAGTTTACCTATTAGACACAAACTTTTGTGAATAAAAACTTTCTCAACAAAAAGGGTTGACATAGAAAACCTATAAGCAACATGTACATGACAGGTGTTCCTTAGACAGAGTTCACTGTTCATCATGACATTAAGCATAAACATTAAGTGTAATTACTTTGCTGAGGAGCTCTAATTTCTTCTTCTGCTGTTCATCGGTTGCCAGAGCGGCAAACTGCTGCAGCAGCACCGGTGTCGGTGGCGTGGTGATGTCCAGGAAGTACTGGAACGCTTGATAAATAGTGCAGGGAGGGATTCGAGTCTCATTTGTCCAGTTACTGATAACTCCTGTAGACATAAGAGGGGGGAAAATGCTTATTTAACATCAGCAATTGATTTAATATTGAGTGAAATGACATGGAGTCCTTGTATTGAATTTACAGAAAATTACCAACTAGCCATAGTATTGTTGCATTTTTAGCCCCCTTTCTGCTTTGTTTGTTTAGGCTTTAAAAGTTTTATCAGCATTGTTTTCTTGTTTTGATCTTTTTATAGCTGCACGTTTTCTTGAGGACTACGTAGGACACTGGACATGTCAGATGGTCTAAAATACATGAAAACATACTGTCACATTGTTCTCCACAATCCTGTCACATTAGTCTGGTTGTCTGACTCCAAACATCAAAATAAGCTCAGTTTTATACACGACTCTACAAGCTCAAACAACAGCTGTCATATTAGATAAAAACACACTCCAATCTCAGAGATCCCATGAGAAATCGTCAATGTTGTATAAAGTACCACAAAGTGATACTTGAGTAAAAGCACAAGTATCTTACCAAAAAATTACTTTGGTAAAAGTTAAAGTCTCCTTTAGGAATATTACTTGGGTAAAAGTCCTAAAGTATCAGATTTTTTTGTACTTAAGTATTAAAAGTAAAAGTATTGATTTAAAATGAGCAGTTAGATTTTACGTAACGACATAGGAGGTGACCTCGTCCACCAAAAACTGCAAAAATGACTGTTGTATTAAAATAATAATTTATGTTAAATTTAGGATGCACTAGTCTAGCTGTTTCAGTTTATATACATATATCAAGGCTGCACAAATCTTTTCTCCAAAATAAAAATCTATCTGAGGGCTGCGGCCAAATTAAATAACATAATTCATGACATTCAAATACTTCCTCTACTTTTAAATACAGTATCAGAATTTTATATATATTTATACTTCTCATTCAACCACAATTAAATTCACTTTGTCTAGGAGGCACAGTTTATATGGTAGTATTTATTTTTACAATGACAAGCTGAATGAAAACAAGCAAAAATGAAATGAAAGTAATGACTTTCTACTTCCTGCCTTTTTTTAAAATGTAAGGAGGTATTTGTACTTAGTTACTTTACAACTCTGGATATCATAATATTTTGTGTAAATGCAAATAATGTCGTTATCCAAGATAAAAATGGTCTTAGTTTAAAAAAAATGTGACCAGCAATATTTCTTCAAGGATTGATCTTTTTTTAATTAAGGTGTTTTACAGACTGCACACAGAATATTAAAGGTGGCTATTAGGGGTGTCCCGATCCGATATTGATATCGGATATCGGTCCGATATCAGCCAAAAAACGAGTATCGGATTTTATCGGMCKGCATAAAAAATGTCCGATATAAGCGCTCCGATATTAGCAGTCCGTTCCAGCAGTTCACTGCCCCGCTCCAGTGTTTCTATCCAGCAGTACTTGGATCCAGCACGTAGTGCTCACGTGATCACAACATGCAGCGCTAACAAGTTAGCAAGAATGTCGGCAGAACTTTCTATTTTCATCAGAAACAGAGTTGCAGCTAAGTGCAAAGTTGTCGTGCACAAGTTTTCCGAGAGGGAACATAACCGTGTACGTTTTAAACCGGAGCGACAACTACTCTCCACCCTGGCAGCAGCTTTGCGTTTCGGCTCGGTTCGTTCAGCCTCGGTCCAGTGACCGCACACAGCCGCGCTGTTTCAGAACCTCCTCTCTGGTCCGGTCGGTGGTTCTAAGCTGGCAGAAGTGAGGACAGCACGCTTACAGTTTTGACATCCCATGGATTAGCTCTTGATGGACAGAAGAAAGGAGAGCGCAGCTTTTGTTTTGGAATATGAGCGCGACATGACGAGAGCAGTGATAAAAACTGCTCCCTGCAGGAGCGAGAGGCTGATCTCCACATGATGCTCAGAAAATGCAGCAGTAAGAAAGGTAGCTATCAATTGAAATAACTGACTAATTCTTACTATTTATTTTTTTTGCTCTTGTTATTAGAGTGATGTTTAATCTGTTTACACACTTGTTTTAGTAAAGATTAAGTGCAATGATCACATTGTTTTAGTT